CGGCGACGGGCCCTAGCAGAGTCCAGGCGTCAGCACCCTCGGAGAGGTGAATCATTCCCAGAGAAAGACGGAACGCGGGCGGCATTGCACCCTCCGCTGAGAGGGCAACCACCAATTGATCATCCGACAAGCCGCTGAGGAAGCTATCGAGCGAGTCGCCTCGCTTGAGGCGGAGCGCTGTCGCCGACGCCGATCGCCCGATGGACTTTACGGCAGCCAGTCCGCCGCCTGAGATCGGCTCCATCGCGTGCGATGCCGCGTCGACTGACGCCCTGGCAGACGACAGGTCACGCATCGCCCAATCTGTTACAAAAACAGTTCACGACACGCACGGACCTGGCACAGGCGTGGGAGAATCGCGAAAACGCCAACAAAAACGTGAAGAAAGCGAAGTGGCGCCGCGAGCAGGACCAGGCGTAGTGCGCGCGTCACGTGTGTGTGTATGTAGGAGTTGTAGGCATGGTAACAGTTGCAAGATTCTTTCTTTCGTTCGTGCGCCGAGGTGTGGGTGCTAGTGAGAGAGATTTTTTTGAAACCCAACAAGAAATCACGACTCTCACTGTGATTTGGGCTCGGCAGCTTCTCAGCCCTCAGCCGAAGCTGGGGCCGGTCCCGCGGTCTTTAGTTTATAGTAGTGTGCTGTGTAGGAATCCTAGAGAGAGGCTTGCTCTTAACAAATCGTTTGATGATTTACCTGTGCTAGCCAGTGCGCGCCACTCCCGTGCCGATCTAAATAAATACACAAAGCGACGCCTCGAATTTCCCAGCGTTTAAAATTCTTTTTCATGTGGCCGGTACCGTACGGCCTGCGAGCCGTCTTATTACCAGGTTGCAACCCTTGTTCCGCACTGTGCTGTGAATCGAGCGGCAACCAGCAGCTCTCAGGACCCCCCGGTGCTGGGGTGCTGCCAGCAACCAACCAACTCACCGGCGAGCGGAGCGAGCCGAAGAGCGGGCCAAATTGCGCTGTGAACGCACCTACGTGGCGCGGGCCGCGCAGGCCCGGCAGCAGGGCACCCGCGCGCGGATGCCGACGAGGATCACGGTGCGCTACCCGAACGAAGGTGGACTGCTGACAGGGTTTGCGGTGTCAGTTAGTGTATGTAAAAAATTCTTAGAAATTTGCCCCCCCCCCCCCCCTCCCGAGAACGGGCTAGAAGCACACACCCCGAGTGCGGGACATGGGGCAGCAACCGACAACGTGGACGGGGATGGGGTGCTGCTCAACCGGCGGCAACCAGCAGCTTTCACAGCCGAGTGCGGAACAAGGGTTGCAACCTGGTTTTTCCGCCCTTCTCTTTTATACCTGGTAAAAAGACGGCTCGCTGAGCCACTCTAGGTCCTGGGAGCCTCGCGGCATAGCTCAACATGACCGAGGCGCTCCGATCTCATGTCCGCGCGCTGCGAGCAGAATCGGGCGAAAAGTTCGATGCTGCTCTCGACACCTGCAAGACGCTTCTCCAGAACGTCCTCGAGCAGCCGGATGAGGCCAAGTTCAGGACGATCAGGTTGGGAAACGCCGCCTTCCACCAGCGGTTGGGGCAGTTCCCCTCTGGAATCGCGCTGCTGCGATCGCTGGGCTTCGAGGACGCCAACGCCGCCGACGGCAGTCCGGGAGGAGACGGCCTCCCGGCGTACCTTGCACTGCCAGTGGCTGATGCCGCAGTCCTCGCTCAAGGCCTCGTCTTAGTGGCGGCCTCTCGCGAAGCATCCCTGCTGGTGGCCAGCGAGCGGGGAGGAGGGCCGCCGCCGCCGGCGGCG